ACAAGGGCGCCAGCCACCCGATTTCTTGGAGGCCATCTGTAAGGGAGAAGACCAGCGGCTGTCGGAGGGGCGGATTATTGCAAATTCGAGCAGGTGCTCAAACTCCGCCCTAGCTACCCCTAGTTTCTGGGGCGATAAGCGGCGTAGACGACATGAGACGGGAAGGCCATTCGTCCGTATGTGGTGTGTGACTTGGGATGCCACGGGCATGGTTTAACGAGCTTGGAATACTGAGAAAGGAGGTTGACTTAGTCTGCCGAAATCTGGGGAAAGGCGTAGACCGGTACTATAGGTGCAACATCAGCGGTGATGCCACGTACACTGAGTTTCACTGCAGGGTCGACTATCATCTGAAGTTTCGCATTGACCAAGAGGTCGAAATGCCTGAGAAACTCAATGCCGATGATTTCATAGGGGACTGCAATTACGGTAAATACCCAGCGGAACGTGCGCCGAAGACGTAGATCCACGGTAAGCAACCGATGATCGTAGGTGGCTATTGGCGTGCCATTGGCGGCACTTAGGCTTGTCGACAAAGAAGCAATAGGCTCACTTGGCATAAGGGGAATAACGCTGACTTCCGTCCCGGTATCAACTAAGAACTGGGTCTCGGAGTCATAATCCCTAATGTAGATGAGACGACTTTGGGCTTTGCCGACACCGTTAGTCGCCATTACGGGTCGGCCTGAAAGTTGCCCTGCTTCGCGGCGGAGAAACTGCATGGTTGCTCGCCCTTACGGGCTTTGTTACCGATACGCGAGTGGAAAAAGCAAAAGCCTGATTTGTTACGCTTTGTGCGACGGGGGATGACCTAGAGCGGCTGCGCTGCTTACGGTCTTAGGGAGTTTCTCGACTTGGTGTCCTAGTGATGCTATTTGCAATGATAAAGCGTCGATTGCTGACGGCTCAGTAGTCGCGGATGTCGCTGTGGCTGCGACGTCGCCAAGTCAAGCGAATGTTCTAGATTCGTTCGTTGGCTGATGTCGCTCGATGACACGGTTTGCTAGTTCAGCAAGTGCTGCGAGAGGCAGGGCGCTTACCACGGCGAGGATGGCTTGTGTGCTTTCCGGGAGGCTTTGCATCCACATTTCGAGGCGAATCCCAGTGTCCACGCTGGATGTGCCTAAGAGTTGTTGCATCTGTCGCAACAAGGCTGTAGGCATCCTGTCGCATATCTGCAAATTCCTAAACAGTTGGTGGGGTCGGATCTTGTCAGAGGGCGTGATTCGCTGGATGATCACCTGATTTAAAGTCTCATATTTCACATCGGGGGGGGGGGCAAAGTATGATGTCTCTGATCTGGGAGGATACACTTTGCGGAACCTGAGACATGAGATGAGGATTTTTAGCACTATCAGAGGAAATTTTACAATTGTAAGAAGTGGATTATAAATGCGCAAACCATAATAACGGGTCATTTTCCCAAAAAGGTGGAGAGACTAGCTGTACGGCACTAACAATGTACGTCGTTGGTTTATCATCAGGACTATTCGTCGTGAGAAATGAATAAGTATATGCGGCAGGTGAGAAAACAAAACGATAGTGAGTAATGAATCAAAGTCACTGGAACGAGCTCACCAAAATGAAAATTCAAAATGGCGGTTGGCGTGCTCTGTACTGGGGTCATCAGTTGTTGGGTGGCGTCTGGGATACTAGTCGGTAATAAATAACAAGAGACATGTCAAATACAGGACAGGATAGAAGTTGGAGGCGACTGAACCCAACGTATATTGTGCAGGCTACAAAACTAGGAAGCGAATCAACCAGAGCGAGAACGGTGTAGCAAGGTACTCACCAAAACGATTTGTGTCAACGGAAGTACCGGCAGTAAAACAAGTGGACGTTTTGAAGGTTAAAACAACCGTAAAATCCAATGTTGTAGAATACTGAAAGGGCGTGTTTTCCGATCCTTTTAGAGACTATAGCTTCTCCGGTCATCACTGAACAGTCCCTATATGGCATTAATGAATGCGAACATCCAATTTCGTCTCCAATTCAAAAACCTAAACTGCCTTCGTCCGATATTTGTTGTGTGATTTTCTAAGAAACAAAACCATTTGTATAGACATGCAACTAGGTTTCGTGTCACCAATCACAGTTGTGCCATATTGTTTTTCTAAACAGCATTTCGGTCAGCTACCTGTATATCCTTCCGCTTACACGTACAGCAGCTACTCAAATGATGATGGCCACACACTCGATTTTGTTACGGCTTTAATGGTTCTTATAAACAGTAGGAAGGGGATAGTTCAAGTTTGTACTTCTAAAACTGATAGTAAGCCTCTATTGGGACGTAAAGCCATGATCTTATTGAACGTGTCACCATGCATCAGTTGGATGACCATTGCCAGCGTCATGGTTCATTCGTTACGTTCCAGTTACCCAAATCTCTTTCTTTCGGATATTGGTAGAGTCCCAAAAGCAATGCACCGCCTTCGGTTGAGCGCGGTTTACAAACCGTCAAGCATTTCACAATCTAGACCTTTACCTCTGGCCATGCGAGAGGCTTGGTAGCAGGGTTTGAAAAATTTGGTCACGGAAGCCTTGCTGGAATCCATACAGTGTTTTGAATGCGTTCATCCACTAGTTGACGTTCAAAAGAAAATTGGTTCTAAAATTGGTTCTAACATAGAGGCTTCATCAGACCAGGTCTGATGAAGCCTCTATGTTAGAGGCGAAACGTTACCAAATTACTATACCAAACCGATTGTTTTCAAACCTCTCTGAACTCATGAA